CTAATAATTGCTAAGTTTTCTATATGAACTCGACATTGCCACTTGGAGTGAATGCATATTCCAAGAAAAACTGTTGAACCAATTGATATATATCTAAGAATCTGTAACGTTTAAAAACCGGCCAAATGCGAGTCGAAATCGGGTCCCGTACCATTGCAATCTATAAAGTCTATAAAAACGACAAAAAATCAAGTTTGTTGTATGGGGAGCTCTACTTAAATATATTTTTATTCTATTTTTTTAGTATTTGTTGTTATAGCGCAATAGAAAATATAATCTGTGACAATTTCAACTGTCCAACTATCACGGTTCATGAGATATAGCCTGGAGACAGACGGACAGACCGCGGAGTCTTGGTAATAGTTTTCCGTTTTACCATTTGGGTACGGAACCCTAAAGAGAGATGACTTTGAAACGTTCATGCAACCGATTTGGTGGCGCCATCTCCGAGTTAAGTCCGGAGGAATAATTAACTGTAGTATATCTAACGCAATAACACCACAGGGCGTTGCGACACTCGTGACTCGTTTTGATGATTTGGTAATGATTTTAAAATGAATAAAACATGACATACAGACGCGGCGAGATGCTGCCAAACCTAATCTTCGGGGACGTATCTACGTGCGCGTATGTTGAATTTCCAACGTCTGCGATGTACAGTGGAAAATTCATATATTCAAGTATGCTCATATATTTGTGTGTGGGCATTTTATATGCCTATATTTACCCCGCATCCTTATAAACCCGAAGGTTGTAGCCATTCATCATCAGCGTCATCATCAGCCGCCGGAAGACATACTGTTGAAAATAGCCTCGTTCTTAAAACAGCAGAAATGAACGGCACGTTGCTATTTAAATATCTATCTTCGACTCCTTTCGTGTCTTGAGTCCACATAATTCCGATTCGTGATCCTCACTAGAGAACTATAACTTGTCGCTAATACTCCCACGCAATAAAATCCTTAACTATATGTATCTATATTTTTATTTTTATTTATAAACCCAACCAGACGAGAAAACAAATGAATATCCCCCCCATAATAACTTATACATCAGAATAAGACATAGGTTATAATTTATATACATATTTTTATGTATATCTGTCTTTCTATCTGAATATTACGCCTTCAGCATATTCTACGCAGACGTAGTCGCGGGCAGCTTGATTAATAAATGGGATTGACGTTGAATTGTATTGTAGCATATCGCGTATCTCTAAATTCATAGTAACTTTCCAGTTGCCGCATCTGTTGAGATTTACGAGCGTCCGACCCCGAGGTCAATATATCCAATCGTTATTATACTATGACAACCCAATACGGTAGACTCGTGAATTGGCGAAGGCGTTTTATTTAAACGGTTTCGTTTACGTTTCAGATGAATAAAACGGTAAGGACGCTTGTTTTGTTTTATGCAGTTACTAGCTTAGTTACTTCGGCTTTGGGTACGTATTAGAAGGTATAGAACATAGCTTTTACCGGCTTATACAACTATAATTCAACAATGTGTCAATAATTGGATAACAACAGTACTTAGCTTTTCCAACAGAGCAACAGCCTTAATTCCAATAACCAAAAACTAACCCCCGTACGTAGTGAGAGTTGAATTTATACCCCTCAAAAACATGTACCAAACACCTAGGGCCCCCCTAGGGTGTAGGAAATATCATGACGCAATAGGTATCAAACCAACAACTTTTAAATAAATCACATCAAACTGTACTAATAAATTATTTATACATTATTAATTACATTAAATATGTACCATAATTATAACATACGCTCACAAATCGAATTTTATTATTAATCTAATGAGATCACAATGATTGTCAATATGGTGATCTCTAATGGTTTCATAGCCAAGTATGTATTTTCTAGTATTTGAAGTTAACTGTGTAGTATGTTGTAATAATGTAATGACTTAATAGATGCGACCCTGTTTAGTTTAAGATTACTGTTTCATCTGGCAAAGTATCTGTAGAGAAAGTAAAGTATCTCTAAAAAAAAAATAACAGTGTTAGGGCCACGTAACAGTCTTCACTGTCGCACGAAATGGGCAGGGAAGGAGAAGTGTTACAAACTAAAATATAACTGTTATAACACCGAATCCCGCTTTATTATAAGATGGCAAGACATGCAACCCTACGGGTGTTGCAAATGTCCACGGGCGGCGGTTATCACTTAACATCAGGTGAACCGCCAGCTCGTTTGCCGTTTACTCACATAAAAAAACCGTTTAAGTAAAGGCTATAAGACATCCGAAGTGTTATTTAACAGAAAGACGAACTATCAAAAGTTTTTATTCAGTTTAAATTAGTTTCAAGTGCTTGGACTCGCGTTTGTCTTTTTGTATACGTTACGTGAGAGAACATAATGATTTTAAACAAATTATTATTCATAGTCATGGTCTTAACTTTATCAAGTTGATCTCAAAGCGCTGAGTCATTGGCAAAATCACTGACGTATCAGCGGAGACATAGTAGGAAAGCGAGAGAGAATAATTTCTTGCAAAAGCGGATCCTCCAGCAAATAAGAAATGTACACTCAGGCGTCCTTGAACTAGGCTAAATATGATGTCAACATTGTATATCTACATCGCACGTGACGTGTTGGAAAATCCACTCATAATTTCTGTATTGTTGAATACAGAATCACGCCGAATTGTTTCCAGGTAAATTCCGGTTTGAAAAGCCCCGAATCTAAAATATGCGCATAATGAATTTGTAAGAAACGTGCCATTTTCCTTTCCATCTTTTAAATGGTTAAAAACCGAATTCTATTGCAAACCATTTATATACAAACATATACAGTTATATATTATATACTATTTTAAATTGATATACACTTATAATATACTATGATTTTTAATTTATATTAGTAATTAGTAATTTTGTAACAGAAAATTTTAATTTGTATATTTCTCAATTCTAATCTGACCATTGTATACGAATAATGATGTCATTTCGTATCTCAATTTCCTCGATACAGGCTTGCCTAGTGAGGAAACTAATGGAAATCATATGTATAATGAATGGTTCAATCCGTCGTAAGCAAAGTACATTGCAATTGTGTTATTTTTATTTGTCATAACAACTGTATCTTATTATTTTGCTGTAATAAAAACATTTTTCATTTTTTTTTTCACTATTGTTCTTCAACATTCAAATTGTAATTATCGCTCTCTATTAATTCCGCAGTATTAAATTACACCCGGCATAGTAAAAACTTTCGCATAACCTACAAAGTTTCATCGCAATGAAATGAATAATATAGTTAAGGAGTGCATATGAACAAAAAAAGTATATATTCACTCTGTGTATACTAAATATGAACATCTAATCCTCTATCATTATAATTTACTACTCTATTATTATAATTTAGTGAAAATTAACAAGATAAAGAACACAAAATAGTTTCATGTCCATTCCGAATGAACTCGGCAGATATAAGTACATTTATTACAGACCTTTACAAGCGTTTTCACCATTCGATGCGTCCAGCTGTTACATCACTCATTTGCTACAAACTACAAAGGGACAAACGACGCATATTTTGACGCGAGCTAACATTGCAAACGTTGTTGACTTATACTTTCATTGTTATTTATTTTTGCAACACGCGCATCATTACAAAACGCCGGCATCTTTTTGTGTCTAAGAGTCCGTTGCAGAAATGCGACACGTCCAGAAGTAATCATTTATAAATGCGATTTAAAGATGGCGCGTATTTAAGATGGCGACCTTTTCACGGTTGATTATGACATTTTGTGAAGTCAAACACGCGTGACCTTTTGTATTGAAACTTATTTGTTTGATTTTTTTATACCTATGTATTACACCATAAAGGTTTAGGAATACAAGGCCAATTGACCGCTTGATATTGGTATACTGGTTTATCGTTTCATTCTTCGAATGTATCTATGTATACATTTCAGTCGAGAAGAGAATCATAAGTTAAGAGAATCGTTAGAAGTTATTTAGATATGGTGTTATTAATAATATAAAATAAATAATATAAATAGTATAAAATATCATAGGATTTGGATTTGCTTAATTTTCGGATATATTACAGTATCTCCTGTCATGGGACTGTATGATGTATAACGTCATAATTTTATAGTGAATATGTTTTAAAAATCTCGAAAATAATATCAGTTTATAGGTTGTTTAATTATTTAAAATGTCAAAGTACTGGATATTGGATTTATGCACCGTCAGAAAACGACTTAATGTAATTCAAGTTGTTTCTAAACAAAGAGAGAACAAATTAATTAAAGTGTAACAAAAAGTTAATATTGTTTTACTTGATAAATCTGTTGAACTAGGAAAAAACACCCTATAATAAAGGTACTATTTTCCCACGATAATAACCATTTTGTTATAACAAGGAAGTGTTTTGTATTTCTTGGTTTATCTCACAGCGGTAAATGATTCCAACGATGGCAATAATTTAATTAATCTACGTTGAAGAAGTGCCTTTAGTGTCTAGCAGTAATTAAATCCGGAATTTGCATTCGTGAATATAGGCAGTTACGTATGTAATGTTATGGTAAGTGGTTCAGTGGATGCATAGTTCCCCCTTTGAAGGAAGAGAGAAAAACAAAGTAATTTCTTGGATACTACTAACTTATCGTGAACCACACTTTAAGTTGGAGTAATAACTAAAGATAGAGTAAGCTTTAAGACCGTGGGGCCACGCAACAGTCTTCAGGTCCATCCGGGGACCAAGACCTCACAGCAGACCTGCGTGAATTCGAAGTGTTTAACTTTTGCGTTTCGTCTGGTGAGTGAGGTAACTGGAGGCAACTTTATTAAAAGGTGGCAACGCATCTGCAAACCTACGGTTATTGCAAATTTACCTGGGCGGCGGTTATCTGGTGAGCCGTCATCTTGTTTGCCACCATCTTACATAAAAAAAGACACTAGGGGGTGAGACATTGCTTCGAAGTTGGGCATTAAATACTGTAAGAATATCCAAGAATATCAATATTTTGATTCTTACCTGAATGCTCGCAAGCGGTACGTTAGCGGCGTTCACAGCGCCACCTACGCACGTGGCTTTGAGCACGCAGGCGCTGCCCTGGCCGGCGCAAGTCTGCTGCAGATCACCCTGTACACCGAGACCCGGGGCGGGCGTGCTGCCGGCGAATATGTCGTCACCGATCGTTTGCTGGCTCTGTCCAAAGTCGAACTCCTTCTGCGCGGTCTGGATTAGGTTGACGTTGGATCCGGAACCGGTGGCGGTAGCGAACGGAGCGGGCGATGAGCCCGTGTAGCCTACACCGGCGAACTTGTCGGAACTTGTCGAACCGCCGGAGTACGAGGATTGGGAGCTTCCGAACGCGCTCGAGAAGGCGTTCGAGTTTTGGTTGGACGCGAAACCCTGGGCGGCCTGGTTGCCCTGGCCGCGGTTGATGTTGCCATTCAGGAAGGGATTGTTCGCGACATTGAACTCCTTTTGGTAGCTGGACGATTCGAAGGAGGCCTGCCCGTTCAAGCCGTTCGGGTTAAGGAATGCGTTCTTGGACAGGTCCTGCGCAGCGAATCCTGAAGACGATCCGCTGCTGGAATAGCTGGAGCTCTTGCTCTGGAAGCTTTCGGAATTGACGTTCTTGAATGGCGAGTTCGCGCCCATCCACCAGAACGGCTCGTTGGTGTTCTTCCCGCCGAGGACGTTGCTGCCGAAAGCGGAGGCCGCTTTGAAGGCGTCATTGCCACCGAAGGCGTTCAGGTTGCCGAACTTCTGGGTGACTTTGCCGTCTTGCAGCTTGATGCCGGCGCACCCCTTGCTGCTGGAGCAGCCCTCGAATGACTGCTGAGTGTGCACTTCGCCGGCTGGCAAGGACTGGAGTGCCGCGACGATTTCTTTGGGCGATTTAGCAAGGTTGATGGTGGACGAGCAGGCCGAGCATCGTTCCACCCTCGCCTGTGGCTGCGACTCCTCGGCTTCTACCACCGGCTCCTTGCCCGGCGGCAGCTCTTTCACCTCCTCTATGTTCTCCGGGTGCGCGTGTGTGCCGAGCAGGAGGCATATCGCCACCACTGTTCGGAGTAGTGGCTTCATGGTTCTGAAACAATAATGGGATTTGTTATGATGAGTCACAAGCCCTTATATTTAACCCCGATAATAGCATAGGGTAAAGCTAAGGTTTGTTTTAAACTAAACCAAGTCCAACTTTAACCAGTAAAACTGGGCCAAATATGAAACTTCTTGTGCTTTTCCACGTAAGGAAACCGAATATTGGAAGCTTTAATGGACCACGATGGTCAGATCCAGTGATTATTAATCAACCAGTTCAAATTTGATTATTAAAATGATATATGATGGGACATGATCATGCTTATCATTATATATTGGAAAGTCATTGGTTGTTGAAGGTAACAAAAAGGTTATATCTGTAAGGATGTATGTTTGTTCAAAAAAAGATTAAAAAAAGTGTGCCTCCGAACTGGTTTCTTTTGCAAATAAAGTTGACTTTGATATCTAAGCACCTGCTTTAAATAATGCTTATACATAATATTGCTATAAAATTTGAATGAATGTATTATTATTTTAAAATATTCAGCTGCTCCATAGGCGGGGCGTTAACCGTTGATATCACATTGTTAATCGAAATACAGCTTTTTCTTTGTTACGCAAAGTTTACCGTGAAATTAAAATGACTGTGTAGTGTGTTTACTTAAATTAAAGAAACCGTTCGCTATATCGTAGACAATAATTTTCAATTTCAAAGACACGGGTTAAAGTTATAACTTTAATGGCGAGCTCCGGAGATATCGCAGCGCACCTGTCTCGGATCGCATAAAATAAGAAAAAAAAAAACTAATCGTATTTGAATACGACGATGTACAGTTCAAGGTTGCATAGTTTAATACTAATCGTTCGTACGGAATGCAACCGCCGTCAGACTTGAAACAGTCTTCGTCGGTTTCGTTATGGTTGAAATTGCAACAAACGAATCTGTTGTTGCAACGATAAATCCGTAAAGTGTCCGCGGTGATTTATTTGAGCGATATTTTTCGCTGTTAACAAAAATTTCATGTTAAATTAAAATAAAATTGAAAACCCTAGATAGTATTGTGCATGTAACATTTAAAACGATTAATAATTTAGTGATCATTTTGTATATTTCAAACCGTCTTGTTTTCGGTATATGCAAAATGCTAAACTTATTAAAAGTTCGTGTCATTTTTAATCTACGATATTTGTCTAGGTCGTTAGCGACTGTACTTTTATAAAAAATTGGCGGGAAATGTGACATTTGGTTGACCCCTGAAAAAATACAATAAACAAAACGCTTTAACGAGCACATTTATATCGACTGATTATGAAAGGACAGTCAGAAACAAATAAATTTCTTATAAAATTTTATATCGTTATCTTATTAATGGGAAAAAAAACTTACATTTAAAATTTATATTCAAAATTTCGCTACGTTTGCCTTTTTCCCCCTAATCTTTTAATTATTATATTGAATCTCTATTGATGTATAATACACAATACTGAATAGGTAGGTAAATAGTAACTATACCAAGAATACTAGCTACTTATTTCTCGGTGGATACAGCTTGAGTCTTTATAATTTTAAACAGGGCTTATAGCTGAAAATCTAAAGTTTGTTTAGGATTCATGTGATGTTGCCATACTGACTGGCGCCAGGAAGTCGTAGGTGGGACATGTGGTGTGGCACCTTTGGTATCGATTTAATACTCGATTCACATCGCTCAAATTACATTGAGGCTGATTCTAATTTAGCAAACACATGATACAGAAATGAGAAGACGTAATGTTTGTGGCTTGTTATGATTCAGTATTTTCTCTGTTCTACGTGTAATGTTATTGTTAGTTATTTTGAGTTTTTAGTTATATATGAGTTTTTAGTTAGTATAGTTAACTGTTTCTATGGCTATCGAAAACCAATTTTCTGTCTGAACTTGTTACATGTGATTAAATTGAATACGTTATTAACATCTAAAGGCAGTGTCCAGATTTTTTTTTTAAAGTAGAATATTAAATCATAAATATTCGATCACGTGAAACGAATCCTTGTTGCTAAGAGCTCCCATAATGCGAAAACACGATTTTTATCTGCCAATAACCCCATATTGAAGCGTTTAAACGGCCGCGTAACCAGCCTTGTTGCGCCCACGCCTCCATTTCAAGCCCACTTGGCTTGAGCTGTGGGCGTGGGTGCAAAATGGCTACCCGACGAAAACGATGACATAAAGTCGGTGGCACGTCGGCGCCGATTGTTCGTGCTACTGTTTGTTTCTAATTCGACTGGTTACGAGTCACTCATCACCTTGAGAGTGTATTAAGTTGAATGCAACAATTATATTTATTGCTCAATTTACGCAGTGTCATTTAACAAGGTTTAGGCTAGGCGTCAGCACCCACCTCAAGCCCGGTGGTTCTGCAAATGCCTCAACCACCGGGCTTGCACACAAAAATCAATTTAAATTCCCTATTTATATTTCCTAAATTATGACACAGAAGCTTGGAATTTATTTAAAACCGAATTGATGAATCCACGCCTCTTCTCAGGCCACTGTGTAATTATAGTGTATATATTTTTGAAAAGTCTTAAGGTCTTTACACACACGATTGTACGTTTCCAAACCGTTTGTCTGTAAATCAATTGTGCAACGCCATTTAGGCATTCTATATGTCTAGTTAGAGTAGAGGGGTTGTAGTAATGGTAGAAGTTATTGACTAAAACTGTTTTGTCGTTCGGTTTTAATGCGCGTGTAAAGTCCCAAAATTTTCGTGTGTTTTTTCTTATTATTCTTAATTTGAAAAGTCGGCACGCTAGTAGTTGGTTCTTCGGATGTTATATAAATATATAAAATATAACTATATATTTTTGATAAACATACAAACAATCAGACAGAGATCATTCTGATAATTAAGAAAGTAATTTTGATCAATTCAGACAGTTTAACAATCCTTTTGGCAACTCAAATAACATATGAAAATCCATTTGACAGCTGATTAGTTGACTTCTACGATGATCAGTGTTTCAGAAACCGAGGGTTAATGTCTTTTTCACCAACAAAACAAAACAGAGTGCTGGCACAAGGGATGAAATTTTTATTTATTTTTCTTTTGTTACGCTAAAGATGTGTAACTTTTTACAAACGTACATATGTTCATATCATTATTTTTTAATTTTAACTATACTATCTACTGTTTAAAACTTCTATACTATAGTTAAACAAACAAATTTTTTAAACAAAGCTTTTCGTTTCATTAGCGAAGATGACGCAAGGTTGTTGTTGCGCAATTGTAATGATGGATTTTATTTAATTTATCATTTTCTTGGTTATTAGTTTATGAAACGACCTCAAGTTGAGGTTCTCTAATAGCGTAATTGCTTGATTGTCGGACGCTGTGCTATTTAACACTTACAAAATTCCAATGTCTGTATATTTCCAAAACAAATATTTATGTTTTTTTCAAAATCAGTAATCGTTAAACATTCAAAACCAGTAAAAAAACTAATTCGATTACTTTTTACATATATTATTGTTAATAACTTGCAATCTCCTAATCCTCTCCTATGATAATTGTAACAGATTCGATATCTATTCAATAATTCAGTCATTTGTTTCAGTAAAGTTCTCTGTGCCTTTTAATAATTTTTATTATTATTTAGTCCATGTCATAAATTACAAAATATTAAAGATTATTAAGTAGCAGTATTCATTTAATTAATATAAAGGCATTAAATGAGAATCACGACTTTTGAGATAACGCACCAGCCGCTTTATTGTATCGTTCTCACTTATTTTATTGATAGTAAACTTTGTGTTACTCAACGAGTTTTCGAATCTGAAGATTGCACGTTTTGTATAACTAAAATTTTATTAAACATGACATTTACCTAATATTTTATAGCCTCTTCACTTTTGGTTATTCCCTTATATGCGTCACCAGACGTAAAAAGCTTGTAACAGCCCACAGGAAAAGATTCCACTGCTAGGCAGAGACCTCCACTGCACAAATTGAAAAATGCAGGTTCGAAAATATGCAGGTTTCCACACGATGATTTCCTTCACCAACGAGACCATCATCGAGATATCAATTCTTAAAACAAAAAAATAATTGGCGTTCGCACAGAAAGAACGTAGGTTGCTTGAGAGTATTGCAATGAAAGCAAACGCCCGAACACTGAGCTATTAAGGATTGATCAGTGACAAAATACAACTACATGCTGTACATGTCGAAAATACTTACAAATATTTATATTTTCTTAAAACATGTATGGCATTTAAAAGATAAATATTAGATGATAAATATCAAAACGAAAAACTAATAACAGGTGTATTTGAAAAGTATCACGTGGTCTAAAATAAATTAAGGACTGGAAAAACAGAACATTGTCAAACTGACATATTTTATCTTGATATCTAAGTCGTATGTATATCTTCATCCAATACACTAATTTCTACGGACGAAAACAAGTTCTGTGCCAACTTTTGTCATCATATCATGTAAATTTGATATAAAGCAATAATTTAAATTATAAATTTCATTAGAATTGTAGAGGTTAGGTTGGTTATTAGACGATCCTATATTTCTAAATTCGTGGCGGTTTCGTAATAACTCTCATAGCTTTGACTGTCATTGATTTATTGCCAAATGCGTTATTTAATTCTGTGTGTATTTACGATTTTATAATTTGATTATTCAGTGTCAACAGGTCATTGTCGATGTCTATTTGGATTCCAGTATATTTTTTTTAGAAAAACAATTTCATTTCAAGGTTAATTTGAACAGTTGAATCGTAAATTTTGAAGTGTTTTTTTTAAGTCATTTATCATTTCGCGTTGTACCATACCGGTAAAGTAATTCACAAATATTTTTAATATTTGTGTAAGCCCTATTGTTTGATGAGCACTGGTTACTGAAAGATGAAAACATTTTACATATAAAACATATACAAATACGAGGTGGATATGACACTAACGCAACGATACTGAGGCACTCAAATACGCCAATTGGTGTAATTAGATTTGAGCACTTTTATAGACTGCTATCTCTTTCCGTATATATGTCATATA